CCCCAACAGCGTCTCCGTATCGGTCTCGGAAGAACGCCAAGAAGTCGGCGCCACCACTACCGAAGAGGCCACATCCTTTGCCGCTGCCGCAGACGGGGGTGGCCTGGGAGGCGGCGGCGGCGGCGGGGGCCAGGCCACCGGCGGCGGCGGCGGCGGTGGTGGCATGCTCTACAGCAGTAGCGGAGAGGAGAGCATGGGCGCGTCTCGCCGACAAGGAGGCGGGGAGGGAGTGAGGAGTGGTGGCGGCGGTGGCGGGTGGGTCGGTAGAGGAGGCGAGGACGGAGCCGGAGAGCCCTCGGCCAGCGGGTCCTTCGGTGCAGCTGTAGCTTCTGCGCACGGGGACGCCTCCGGTGGCTCGGGGTCTTCGGCGGCGGCGGCGGTGCCCCCGTCGGCGTTGCAACACCAGCAGCAGATGGCTAGGTGCGTTGTGGTGTTGGAGCGGTCTGGGTGTCTTTGGTGGAGTGGCAGATCTCTCGTTGCTTCGGTGCAAGCACCTCAGGTTTGGCGGTCACACCCGCTTTGTGGCCGCCACCGTGCCTTTCTTAACCCTCAAGCACACCCTCCATGCGACGTCGCCGAATACCTCACGGCGCGTAGCGCTTGGCGATGTGAGAGCCTGGTCCGGTGCGAACCCGGCGTGCTCCGCCCCGGCTCTGTAGGGACGCGAGGTCAAAAGTCAAACGACTACGGCATGCACGATTATGAGTCCCCCCCCCTCCCCCCGCATGCATTACTCTGATGCGACCTCTGTGGTCTAGCGGCAACGGCATGCGTTTACATGAGTCTCCCCCTCCACCTTCGTGCCTACTTTTACCCGACTCTGAACGACAGCACGCACCGCCGGGAGGCCGACACGAGTGCCGGAGCGTCGCCCATCCCCATGGTGCACCGTCATCACCCCCTTGTCGCCGGCAGCCCTTCGGGGGAGAATGCTGGCCTTGCGGCGCAACAGCAGCACGAGCAGCAGCAACCGTCATCGCCTCCGCTGCCGCCCCCGCCGACGGTAGAATCGATGGTAGCGGCGGTGTTGGACCCCACCGCCGGTGGCGAGGCCAGCAGGGACGGCGGGGCGGCGGTACGTTAAGTTGGTTGTTGTTTGACGGCGTGATCCTGGTTGTTTGGGAGGGGAACGGGGGCGTGAAGATTGAGTACTTCACGGATAGAGAGGGGAGTAAGATGACCTTAACTGTTAGTGGTTTGGCTGGTTGTGTTTTCATGGTTATCATCTTGTTGAGGGGATAGCTGAGGCGAGGACATAGGCAGGTCTTTCTCTCCCTCTTTCTCTGTGGGCGCGCCCGTTGGTGCTTAATCCTCTTGCCCATCCCCCCGCCTTCATTATTCCGCCGCATTGGGTCGTGCTATCACGCCGAAACGAAACCGAACCTCTGCAGAGGTCGGTAGGCCGGCCGATCCCAGGCGTCAACGTGGACGAGTCGGCCACGCAAGCCCTCCGCTCGCTGCTCATGAGGGGCGGGAACAGGGGCGGAGGTCGCAGCGGTGGGGGTGGGGGTGGAAGCGCCTCGGGAGATGAAAATCGAGGTTGGTCGAGCGGGCAGATGGCGGGCGGCGGCGGCGGCGGCGGCGGCGGATCGTGGACTGAAGGAGCGGGGGGGATCATGCAGTCGGTAGCACTCCCAAGGTAATACGTTTTGCTGATAGTGTAGGACCGGGAGTAGTAGCATCGTACACGCACGCTGGCTCCAACTGGATTCCTGGTGTGCGAAGGTCAGGCGGGGGGGGGGGCAAGATGAAGTGGGGGCGAAATTTGCCCTGGTTCCTGCGGTGGGTACGGCATGGTACAGCGGTACACGTTCCCCTTTCATGCAAGACCCCCGTCGTCCCGCACACGTCTTTCGTTGATTCTCGTGGTCTCAATAACAGGGCCGATGCCGAGGGAGCGGGGGCAGGCCTAGCGAGGCCGCCAAACCCGGCGACAGACGATGCGAGATCATTCCTGGCGTCCCTGCTGGAGAATCCCAACCACAACAGCACGCGCGCTCCCTCGTCCCGTTCCACGGCCGGTTCCGTCATGTCCACGTCGTCCTCAACGTCGGCTGCATTGGCGGTTGGAGGGAGCCCCGTGGTCACCCTACCCCCCCCGGCGCTCCCCCCCGCCGGCGACGCCGGCGGAGCGGGAGCCTCTATCTTGCCAACGGCGTCACTGCCGGGCGTTGTGCCCGCTCTGACCGAGATGAGATCCGTGCCGTCGACCAGCCTTTCTGTAGGACATACCCCCAGGAACGCCGTCCTGCCGTCGCCTGCAACCGGCGGCGGTGGCGGCGCTAGCCTGTTCTCCAGCACATCTATGGCGGAGGTCACCGCCGGCGCCCCCACCGAGGCCCCCGTCGTGAGCGGGTCGAGGTCGGTGTTGGTGACACCCACGGCGCAGGCGCCGCCCCTGGCGCCGCCAGGCGTGGTGCCGAGACACCAGCAGCAGCAGCAGCAGCAGCAGCAGCAGCAGCAGCAGCCGCGGGCGTCTCGTGGGTTTGATGCGGTCGACGCCGGTGTTGGACCGGCCGGGGGAGGCGCTGTAGCGGGAGGGATGGATACGGAGGATCTTATCGAGGCGATCACCGCCAGAGTCAACGCGGTGAGGTGTTATATGTGTGTGTTGCAGGAGGGGCCCCTATCGGGACCGGGCCCCTATCGGGACCGGCTTCGCGAGAGTTTCTGTTTAATGTACGAAATAGAGAGAGGGGGTTCGCATGCCTATCCCTATCCTCACCCTCACCCCGTACCCCCTACTAAAACCAAGCTTAATATCTCCTGCGAAGACTAATCCTCCCAGAGGCCACTGCTGATGTATTTAGTTTCTTGCGTGCGGATACCCTGAATTGTGTTGGCAGGGTTATGAAACAGTGCTGGCCTTCTCTAAAGCTTGTTCTTCGTGTCTGGTCTTGTTGCCCGTGGGTCTCTCGTTCTTGTTTTTTTTCTTGTGTGCTATTTATTGTAATAGGACATGGATGCGAGGATGTCCGGGCTGCAATCGTCGCTGGAGCAGACCGTGGCTTCCTGCTGCAGGCGCACCATCTTGGCGTCAACGGCGTCTGCTGAAGGTAGAAAGTGCATAATGCTGCCACGCATTAGTTCAGGATGGGTGGTGGTACGTTTAAGATAGAAGGCAAGCACCGCAGGTAGGGGGTCTCAGGGGGGTAACCCTTCTGTGTGACCACGGATTGAAGCTGCCTGGCAGAACGGCTGTGAGCGCTGATTTGATGTGATTCAAAAGAAATGTGTGTTGTTGTAGGTGAAGGACATGCCAGCGTCCGGCCGCCTGGGCGGTGAAGCTTACCGAGCTGTCTGCGTTTTGATATTCCCGTTCTTTTTTTAGCTGACCAGCCGCAAGTACTGTGGGGTTGGACGATACCTCATCGGTAGGATGATCGTACGCCCAACTCAAACACCGAATCGTGGATTTGTGCCTCTTGTTTGCAAAGTCACCGACCAACCTCTACGTTCGTCGTGGTAAGACTCGTACAGACAGAAGAGAAAGATAGGAAACGGCGAAGACGTCATGCCCTGTCTTCATGCCATAAAACCATGAACGATCACTCACTATCATGGTTGGTGCTTTGGTTGATGGCAGACACGAGAGCCAACGAGCGCGCAGCGCTAGTGGGAGACATCTCTTCGTCTGTGGACCGCAGCGTGAGGAGGGGCATGGTGGAGACGGTGGCGACCCCCCTCGCGAAGCTGGTGGTCAGCACCGCGCGCCAGGTCGTGGTCGACCCTCTACAGGTGTGTGCTTTTGGTGTTTTGTTGTTTTTTCTGATATAGAACAGAACGAATCCATATCTTCCACGGATGAGAGTCCGAGGTAGATTGGCAATGAATACATAGTGTTGTGCAATGACCAAGTTATATTTCTACGGTTCCTCGAGCAGCATAGAGCGATCGATATCTCCCCTGTGGGTAACATACTCGACGAAGACAGTTAGGTGGGCGTCTTGAGTATCTGGTGGTGTGCTTGTTTCGTGTGTGTTTTGTTTTGAGGTCGTCGACCGTTGCGCCAAGGGCGACATACGGTAGGTGACATGAGATACCACACCCTTGGGATCGATTTTGTCAAAGCTCCTACTCCACGACGAAGATTATGTATGGATCAACGATGTGTTTCCGGAAAGCTCTCGACGAGACGGTTCTGGCACGCTATTTTCGGTACCGCCAGTCCTTCTGCTGTGGTGAAATCGAGCTCTGAACATCATTCCGGAGGGTATGGTATCTTATGTCACCTATGTTAGGCAGTGAGCCGGCTTCCGTCCAAGGGCGAGACGCGGATGACGCTATAGTTGCGGCCTGTGTTTGTCTGTGGAAGCGATTAAGGGCCACCGTTCAACGTGGGGGTTTGCGGTGCGTGTTGCAGTGGCGATGCGAGCTTCTCATGGCGTTTGGCCAACCATGCGCGCGATCAAAACCCCTCGTTTGCACGGGGACCCCACAAGCTGTATGCAACACAACGCTACGGGTACACGGAAACCTCAGACCGGCGTGACCAGACGTCCTCTCTGTCTATCATGTAGTTGATGGGTGCACTGGCCCACGAACGACCCCCCCCCCCCCCCCCCCCCCCCCCCCCCCCCCCCCCCCCCCCCCCCCCCCCCCCCCCCCCCCCCCCCCCCCCCCCC